GTTTAGTGAAATTTTTTTCGATTAAAGATACAACATATAATACAGACTATTTAGCCAGAGGCGCTTCGCATGACGCAATCAAGCATCTTTTATTTACTAGAACTACTAGAACAGATTTTACATTTCTTATTGATAGATAAATCTCTCTACCCCGCTCTATTTGTTTCTCGATTGTGGTACAGATGCGGTGCTCCCATCTTATGGAGACGCATTGAGCTAAAGAAAGGTGAAAGAGATGATTGCACTCGATTGAAGAAATTTATGAAAATAGTACGTAAAAAACAAAAGCCAGTCTATAGCTCAAATCTAATTCATCTAGAAATTTCAAATTACCATCCACTTTCAGATAAAAAATTCAATGACATTGCGTACAAATTCCCAAATATAGTTTATTTAGATTTAAAATTTAGTACAGGATTTAGCGATAAAACACTAAATCGAATAGCAGAATCATACCCCAATCTGAAGTATCTTAATTTACAAAAGGATAAGTATATATCCTGTAATATGGGCATAATAACTAGTGAAGGTCTATTTGCAATTGCCCGGTCATGTCATAAATTAGAATATCTAAATATTTCTCACTGCATAGATATTTCTGAACTATCAATTTGTAATGTTATTTGTTCTTGCCCAAGGTTCCAGCATCTTGACCTCAGCTTTTGTAGAATTACTGATATAGCTATTGAAGAAATTGCTAAATCATATCATAATTTAAAATATCTTAATTTGAGGGGGTGTGATAAAATTAGCAAAGAAGCTATAAATAAGCTAAATTCAAATATCCACGTAGAGAATTTTGTGGCTTCGATGGATTCAATGCTAGCTGGATTAGATGAAACAATAAGACAACACTTCCATATTATCAATCAGAATTTTAGATCCCGCTACAGGGCATATCCACAATTTAATTCCAATACATCTATAGCTATAAACAGACATTCACTGACTCGAGATATTATTTCCACCTTAATGCCGAGAGCTGATGAAAGAATATTAGCCCCAGAATGGTGGTACTAACTAACCTGGATCAGTGATCAACACAGAAGATTTTTTGTTGGATTATACCCTGTGCGACAAAAAATAAGTGGATCAGCAGTCAGCCTCTTATGTGACAGCCATTAAGGCGCTAAAGCATATTAATTTTATATTTATGCTAACTACTACCTCTATTTTTTCCCCAAACAATCATGAGAAAATGTGAATGTCTACAAGCAACACAGGACCAACTCTAAAAGTAAATGGCGCTGGCAAAAGCATATGTTATAGAGGTCTGAGGGACTCACAATTTTGAGATCACCAGGCGTAAAACTAACTATAGTCTCTCCGGTAGATCTCCATGTGAAAAGGTATGAGGATTCCGTTTACATGTGCTTTCATAAAGCTCTTGGCATCATACGACATTGCTAATCACTATTCTTATCCCCTTATCTTTTTTCCTAGCAAGATATAAAGCATGTAGGGGTATATGGAAGTTCAGCCAACTTTCCGCAAAAAAACTTTCCCAGAGAAATAACGCAAAATTAGGTATGTGTAAGCCAGAAGTTATGTATACATGGTAGCGAGTTTTTTTCTCACTATGGGGTTTGCTTTAGCAAAGAAAGCAAGATGTCTTCCAGCTCCACTCTAGCTGACAGGTTAGAAGGATACGAAACAGAAAGACTTATCAATTTTTTGCGGGAAGATTCTGAATTAAGTCATATAGAACTTGGTGATGGCTTTTTTACGAGACTTGAGGGGGAAAATATTACCGGTCATTTATTTCTCAAGTTAACCAGACAGGAATTTAGAGAATTCGGAATGGGATTGAGGCCAGCATTGGAGCTTGAGGACTACATTAAGAAGCTATGTGAGTAATTTAGCCAAAAGGCGCTTTTGCATATCATTATAGCTGAAATTTATTGAGTGTTGTTTTTACTATCATTATCTTTGATAACAGATGATCGAAGAGCAAGAGTAAATTTAGGAGATGTTCTCGTTAAAAAATAGTATTTTTATTCATATCATGTGAAGCGAAATATTCGAAATTTTTATGTATTGTAGAGTTGCCTCTGGCAACCAATGTCTTTTTTTTCATAAATAAAGTATATTTTATCGAACGTATATGAGAAATGGGTCACGTATAATGATGCAATGGCTGTGCTACATAAAAACCTATATTGACGCCCAGTAGTCTCTTTCCCGAACAGAAATAAATTCTTATCTCACTCCGGAACGTAACACTATTTTTTATCCGAGCCCAATATCCCTATAAAAATGTAACACTATGTCTGAAACTAGTACACCTTATATACCAGCTTCCACCTCCACTACTGTTGCTGGAAATGAGACGGATACGGTGGATATGATGAATATGGTGGTCGCGATAGAGGCCATTATTATCGTGATGGAAGATATGAAAGGAAGTTCTCACCAATGATGAGTCCTATTATCTCTCCAGTAACCGCCTAGAAAAATTATTGGGCGAATCAATTACTCGCATTGACTGAATTATGCGAATTCGTATATTTCTTTTTTTCGAATCACGTGGGTGGCTTAGATACCATACACAGTAAAACTTCATCCACTACTACGCAGATCCGCAGAATATTCTTCGCAGATTATATCCGCAAAATACAGGTAATACGTCACAGGCATCCGCAGTCGTTATTTTTATGATCTATTAATAAACCCAATATTTTTATGTCTATACTGATGAATTCCCCCAGCGCCAAGCCGAAAAAAGTTCTGGTATGTTCTATCTCACTCATTACGCAGTTCTGAATTACTAATAAAAAATACATCCCTGATTTACATGCGGATCGTAAGACAGGACGTCGTTAAAAAGAAATTCAAAAATGGAAATAGAGCCGATTAGAATCTATGATTTACAGATCCTTATTATCCTACTGGCGTTAGAACATTCAAATTACGTATACAGTTAATCATATATTAATCCGTTTTTGAATAGAAATTAGTAGTACGTAATTGATTTATCATCACAGATCACGATCCATGATGAATAAATGGTAGATTCTTTATTCCGATTTTTTTGTAAGGGGCATATCAGCCAATCTAGATAATAAACGGTAGATATACAATTACTCCATTGTATAAATTTATAACATATTGTTCATCGGATCCTTTTAACGCAATTTTTTCACCTGAAAAGAAGGGGCCATATCAAATAAGCAGTATATTTTAGTTAAGCTGTGCATATTTGCAAATCGTGGGGTACAAGGGGTGTAAAATTTACGCCAATGCTCCCGATAATTTTATTCCTAAAATGGCTAATTTTTCGCAAAAATATT